AATCAATATAAATTGTTTAATATGAGTGAAATGGCAAATTAACAAAATCTAAGGAAAGAGTTAGTGAACAAGACATGGATCTGAAGAAATCCATATCAATCTATCCAAAAATAAAGAACAGAAAATTATGGATATAAAGAAAGATTATGAAATTTAGAAGATAAAAGTAAAAGGTCTAAAATATATATAAACAGTTTCAGAAGAACAGAATAAGGCAAAATTTGAAAAGATGTGGTTGAAAATTCTCCAGAATTTATGAAAGAAATGACTCCCTCCACAAATTAAGTATGTGCTAAATCAAGCATGATAAATAAAATGAAATCTATGATAAAGTGAACTGAATTTGAAGAGCCTCCATGACAATGGGAGTGTTAAAAGCAATCAGGAAGAAAAGATCAACAAAGAATAACTGGAAGATTAATAGCAGACTTTTTAATAGCAATCATGGAAACCAAAAGACAGTGGAATGATATCTGTAAGTGCTGAGGAGAAAACATCCTATGAAGTTATAATTATAAATCCAGAAACTATCATTTGAGTACAAGTCAAAAGAAATTATATTTTTCAAATAAATAAAATCTGAAACAGTTTAATACCAAAAACCACCTACACTTAAGGAATTTTCTAGAGAATTCATTTAGAAGAAAGAAATGGATCTAGAAAATCTGAAAGAAGAGCAGCAAAGAAAATGGTATACATGTAAGGTAAACCTAATACATGTTTACTTAATAAAGTGATAATGATCATTTGTGAAGGTTTAATATAAAGAAAGAAAGTAAAATTTAAGAAAATAGCATATACATGAGAATTAGGAGAGGAGTGGTAAAAGTTAATGTCCTCAGCTTCCTGTCTTTCAGTGACAGGGTTCAGATGTTATTTGTAGCTTTTGTTAAACCTGCATGGTAAAATTTTATGGGTAACTTAACCATAAGGAATGGAAATAGAAGGTGTCATTTCCACAGCAGGTAGAAGGAAAATTATATACGGGAAAGGAACAGAAGAGGCTTCTTTTCATCAAATATTTGTTTTTTAAAAAATCAACCAAACTTATAAAGTCTCTGTAAATCCTTCAGATTTAAAAATGATTTGGGGAAATAGTGCTGATAGCTCCATGGTAGCAATTTAACCAAGGCAGAAGGAGAAGGGGGAGGAAAGAAGATGCAAGGACTACTGGTGATAGAAGAGGAAGCTAGGAAAAGTTTTATGGCTGAGTCATCAAGGGTGAAGAGACAGTGGCATATCCTGGTCTCTCTCCGGGCTTGGGGCAGAAGTAGGAAGCAGGGCCATGCCAGCTGATGACAGAGGCTGAGGGGAGAACAGGGTGCTGTTGTGGTAGTTATGGGCAGCTTTGGTGCTGGAAAGGTCCACACATCAAATTGGGTATGTGTACTTTGACTTAAAGAAGACTTCATCCTGGCCCCAGCTTGGCCACAGAGATCAAGGAAATAGGTAGACAGAGAAGGTGGAAGAACTATGGGACATCTCCCCAGACAGCACCCAGGACAGCTACCACCCTGCCACTCCCTGATCATACTGGAAAGGAGGCAGAAGCCAGAAGGTATAAGGATTGACACAATCCTTGAAGGACAAAACCAGCCAGACAAGAGCCAGAAACAAGAGGGTAACACTGGACAACATGGATCCTAGCAGCATGGGATGATGTGCCCAGACACAGGCACATCTATGGTTAAATCATGCAAATGTTAGGGGACCCTGATCTTTACCCACTCCTGGCCACTACATGCCCAAGAGTTCCCTCCTTCCACTCAAATATGTGAACTTATTGAACAGGAAAAACACATAAATTAAAGCATACTTAGAGGAATATAGCACAGATTTAAAGGTACTTAAAAATACAGCAGGTTACAGCACTTTCCCCTCACCCCCACCATTATCCTCAGTTTCATTTTCCACAGTTTCAGTTACCCACAGCCAACTGCTGTCTGAAAATGTTAAATGGAAAATTCCAGAAATAAACAATTGGTGATTTTTTTTAATTGTGCACCGTTCGGAGTAGCAAGATAAAATCTCATGCCATCCCACTCTGTCCTGCTCAGAATGTGAATCATAGCTTTGTCTAGTATGACAACACTGTATATACTGCCCACAAGTGAGTCACTCAGCAGCCCTCTCAGTTATCATGTCACTGTCATGGTATCACAGTGTGTACATTCAAGTAACCCTCATTTTACTTAATAACAGCCTCCAAAGTGCAAGAGTAATGATGCTGGTGATTTTATTACACAGTATACCATTATAATTGTTTTATCTTTAGTTATTATTAATCTCTTACTATGCCTAATTTATAAATTAAACTCTATCATCATATGTATAAGTAGGAAAAAAAAAGTATATGGGGGTTTGGTACTATTCACAGATTCAGGCATCCACTGGGTGTCTTGGAACATATCCTCCACAAATAAGGGGGGACTAGTATAATAATAGCTCATGAGTATACACTTCCTAATCTGTGCCAGACACCATTATAAGTACTTGACATCTATGATCTCAGTTAATCTTCATGTCAATCTTCATGTACCCAAGATCCGACAACAAACAAGAGGCAGTGATGGAACTCAAACACTGGTTCCAGAATATTTATTTTTAATATTATGCTGACTCTGAGGGGTGGAGGATATTTTGCCTGCAAAAGGCAAAATTCATGGTTTGAGCTATGGACTGAATGTTTATGTCCTTCTCAAAATTCATATGTTAAATCCCTAATTCTCATTGTGATGGTATTTGGAGGTGGGGCCTTACACAGATAATTAGGTCCCAAGAGTAGAGCAGAAAGAGGCACAAGTGAGATGATTTCTCTCTTTGCCATATAAAGATTCAGAAAGACACGAGAAAGAAGGCCCTAGTCATGACTTCAGACTTCCAGTCCCCTGAACTATGAGAAATAAATTATCATTTAAGCCAGCCACCCAGTCTATGGTATTTGTTATAGAATCTGGAGCTAAGACTGTTGGGGAATAATGGATTGTCTTCAAATATTTGAACGTCTGTACATGGAACAAGGGTTAAACTTTGTTTATATGGACCAAAAAGATTAGAACTAGGAGAGTGTTTTCTTTCCATCCTTCTGTATATAGTCATAGTTCCCCGAAGAAGAAATGGGCCTCCCCAGAAGGTGCTGAGTTCTGTCACTGGCTATCAGATGTTCTTAGTGTTGGTAACATGCAGAGAATTTAAACACTGAGGAGTGGGTGGTTAGGTGAGACTATAAAATCTCTTGCAATTCCTGAGAGTATATAGATTCTTGAGGGTCAGGAGTAAAAGTCAGTACCAAAGAACTGGATGCCAAGGCTTCTTAACTTCCATAGCAACTATATAATCCACTACTTTGCTAGGGATCATTCTGGAGTTAGAATTTGTGTTTGAATGTTTCAAGACTCTACATGCCCAGATAGCTTGAGTGGTTGTGTCCTCCTCAAACTTTATATGTCCTTCAGAGGTAGGCACAGACAGCACCTCCTCCAGAATGTTCCCCAACCACCGCTAACACCATCGCAGGTGCCTACATCACCCCACTTTTCCCTGATCATGCCACTTCTCACAGTACAGAGAGTATTGTCTGTTTGGTCATCAACCTCCCCCCAAGTTCATTTCCCAGGGCTATTGTAACAAATTACCACAAACAGATGGTTTAAAGCAATAAAATTTATTTTCTCACCATTCTGAAGGTTAGAAGTCTGAAATTAAGATGTCAGAGTAATGTTCCCTCAGAAGCTGATAGAAAAGAATCTATCCTCTCCTCTTCTGAACTTCTGATGATTGCCAGCAATTCTTGGCCTTTGGTAGCTTAAGGTTATATCCCTCAATTTTCTGCTTCCATCTTCACATAACCTTCTCCCCTCAGTCTGTATCTTGGTGTGTCCTCTTTTTTATAGGAACATCAGTTTTGTGCGATTCAGGGCCCACTCTATTTCAGTATGACCTCATCTTAATATAAGTAATTATGTCTTCAAAGGTCCTATTTCCAAATAAAGTTTTATCCACAAGGACCAGGGATTAAGACTCAGGTCTAGGATGGAGGCTACCAATTCTGTTTTAAAGCAGCTCTGAGCCTGCAGGGAGACAACAGGAGCAAAGCTCACCCTCCCAAGCTTAAAAAAAAAATTATGGGCAAGATATTATCATGGTGGAAGATATGTCCAAGGAATATTTACAAATATTTACAAATCTTAAGATAGATGAATGTGTGGAGATGGCAACTGTGGGCAACAGAACAATATTGGAATGGTGGTAATAGGAAGAAATAGAACCATCATGTTAAAAGCCTTAGAACAAGTATAAATAATGGCTGTTCAGCACAGAGATCCATGTCCCCTCTCCAAAGGGCTTGTTTTACTGTGATATAAAACTGGGTCATATAATTTTCATATTAAACTTTTTTGTTTAATAAATTTTTGTAATGGTAAAAAGAAAAAAAATTCAATCTATCATTTAGAGGACACAATTCAACCAACCACATCACCCAACCCCCCACACTCAATAGATTGTGGGCTCTTCATTTTACATATTTTTATTGTGTCTATCATGAACTACATTCTGTTCTGGACAAGCCACAGTCAAGGTCACTAGACTTGATGAAGCTTCTAAAAAAAAATCTACATAAAGATTGACAATAAAATGTGCCCTTTGGTGATTGAAGCCAAATGCCAAGTGTATGTAAGTACATATTGCAAAATATACAAACACTTGATACATATTTGATGAATAAGTATTAACAATGAAACACAAAGGATAAATCATTGTACTTCACCCAGCCAGTGGTCATCAACATGTTTACCAGAATCTGAGAGTTTGGTTTCTCTCTGTCCCTTGTAAAACTTTGTACTTCAGTACTTGAATTCTTACTCTCAGTTGACACCCACAATCCAATTCCTCAAGTAATGTATTCTGACTACCAGAAAATAAAGCTTGTAAAACCTGGTTTTTTAATTAAATTTGAGCTCTCCCCTAAAGAACACACTTGCACTCTGTTTGCCTTCCAGGGCAGCGTCAGCTCCTCCCAGTCTCCCTTCGTCCAAATGCCAGGTGAGTACTTCAATTCAATGGGCAATTAATTCCCTTTCAAAACGAAACTGAGCATTTGGACTCCTGTTTTGTTTTGTTTTGTTTGTTTTTTGTTGTTGGTGGTGGTTGGTTTGGGGTTTTTTCACAACTGCCTTACATGACTTTAACAAAATTTTTTCTTTAAAATAACTATTTTCAAAATGTAAAATCAGTGAAGACAGACCTCATTCAGTCATTCCTATATTTAGAATCTATTGTGCCTTGAAGTCAGCCTTTTGATCCCCAGCCTAGAAGAAACTTTTTGCACAAAGGCAAGAGGAATTAAGCCCCTGACAGTTTTTAAAACAAAGTTCTGACATGATATTATAGACGAAGTACCTACTTCAGACAGAAAGAGAAAGATACCTAAGGGCAGAGATGTGGAACTACCATTCACTGGGTGCTCTCTGCACATCAACCACTCAGTTGAGCATGATGTATTCATTTCAACAAAAATCTCATTAAATATTTCTGTGAGGATGGAAAAGGAGCATTCTTTTTCTTTTTTCTTTTCTTTTCTTTTTTTTTTTAATAGAGTCTAAGTTGCCCAGCCTGTCACAGTCCTCCTGCTCATCCTCCAGAGTAGCTGGGGTTACAGATATACAGCACCAAACGAGGGGAATTCTTAGTAGAAGTCTGGGACATTCTCATCCACACATGCGCACACACAAAAAACCACTCCTCCAAGTGCTCAAACTCAGAAGTGCCATAGGCCTTCTCAATAGTTTTAGAGCCCACAGTACTGGGTAAGAAAAATAAATAAGGGCCTTAGAGGATTTCAAATAAACAAATGTCTCTGTGTCAAGTTTTCTAATCATATTTTATGCCATTGCACTGTGCTTTCATCTGCTCTCTTCTACACAGAGAAACTTCTGCAGCTTCTCTTTTCATCTAGAATTCTTTTTCCTCCCTTTAAGGAGAAAAAGGAAGGCTTTAAGAGAGCAGAGGTTTTTCCTTCATGGTTGTTTTTAATTAGAAGTTGGAAATAAAGATATGACAACCTGGAAGCTTTATTTACATATTCTTCATTCTGCTCTCAGATTTAACCACTCATTCCTATGGTCATAAATTTATGACATGAAACAGAAATCTATTTATGGATACTAATTTGAATTTACACAGGTTTTTCCCCAAAGAAGTTTGCTTATAATTAAAACTCTAACTGCAGCCTTCAAAATGCATGAGTAGTAGAAAAAATGCATGAGTATATTTGAAGTTTGGGGTTATAGAATTTAAGATGAAAGTGAAGTGAGTAGTATCATGCTAAAGGTTTTGATGGGGGAATTTTGATTGCTTATTCTGAATGAATAAATTTACATGCAATTGTTCAACACAATATTATGTTATTCATTTTATGGAAAATAAAATCTGCAAGCTCTGCCTCCAAAGAGCTTGCAGATTGGCTGGAAAGACATTGTGAGAGATGAAAGAGTAATAAGCATAGTATACATAACATAGTGTGCGGGTGGCCTAAGTTCTGTGTGTGTCATCATGCAGGACTGAGTCATGATAACAAAGAGGAAGGTTTCCATGAGATGGTCTTCTTTCCCTCAAGAGTGGGTGGGACACAGTTTAGAAGTCCTCTGCTCTGGTTGAGGGAAGTAAAGGGAAACATCACTTTTGTCTTTCCCCTACTTCTACCCCTCTGTGACTCAGGGGGTTGCTCTTAGCCAATTAGACCACGCTGACCCCACCTCCAGCTAGAATACTTAAACCATCGGTTTTACACACTCATCTCTACCCCCAAACATGAAGATCATGTATTTCCCGCTACAACTAAGATACGGGGTCAGAAAGTAGTTTTAAAACACATTTCTTCTCTTCTGGAACATCTCTCTGGCATTCTCTGGCACTAAAAGACTCCTCAGTTTCAGCTTTTCCGATTTCCACCCAAGCTTCGGTACTAGGCACTCTTCCTAAACGTAGTGCCCCGGAGAACTGAGTGATGGCCACAAGAGGGCAGCAAATAACATCAAACTCATCAAAGCAGAAAGGTCCTGAGTTCCTCTGAAATTGGCTTCTGTGCAACCATATTATCCCAAAGCAAGCCCTTTATTGATGCCTTCCCAGTGAGCGACATGGTGTTAAAGGTCAGTACACAAAAGAATTAGAATACAGAATACAACGTTCATCTGATCTGCGGTGGGGTTATCTTATCCGGAGATCCAGTCTCTCAGGTAATAAGTCCAGAAGCAGCCCATTGTATCACAGGGACAGAGCTCAGACACTCCATTCAATAAAATGGAAATGCCAAGAGATTCTTTGACTTAGATTTTTAAGCCCAGCCCTTCCTAGCATAGTGCCCAGTTCTGGAAGATAGAAGGGAAGTGTGATGCCTATGTGAATGGCTGAGCAGTTACAGTATCGTCTAAAATGAACTCATCCTTAAAGGCAGAGTGGACGTTAAACATAGTTACCCGGGCCAGCACAGTTTTTAACAGTAAAGCAGGCATATTTCGAGCTTTTCGAGACATTGTTCTATTTCTACATTAACACTGGTGTCAGGCAGGTATTAGGAACGTCCTTTCACACTAGAGCCACTCAGCGGCAACAGAGAGGCCCTGCCATTGCTGGGGTGGGCATTTTTGCCCACTTGTCTTCCGTTTGGCAACAGGTTCGCCGGTCATGTCAGGTTACTATGGCGTCAGAAGATCTTTTTTGTCGGACTCAGACTTCCACAACAGTAAACCGTTTTCAAATGACGTCTACACCTCCGGCGTGGCGAAGCCCTTTCCCGGCGAGTCGTCGGCAGGGCAGAGCCACGCGGCGCTGCTCGAGTCCTACCTGGCCGAGCCCTACGGGGACTACCGCCCGCCTGCCCTGACCCCAAGCCCGGGCTCTCTGTTCAGCGCCTCCCCGCTGCCGCCGCTCCTGCCGCCGCCCTTTCCCAGCGACCCGGCTCACTTGGTATTTGTGAGTACGCGTTATTTCAGGTACAGGGAGTAAGAGGAGGAGTAAGGGCTCTCTTGCATCAGCCCCGCCACGACCTGGGCAACCAGGTTGAGACCCCTGAGGCTGCTCTGCTGTTGCCCAAAGGGGCCAGGTCAGGCCGGCTCTGCCAGGACACCTGAGGGAGACTTGCTCAAAGATGGATGTTAACCTTGACAGCAAGCGTTCATCTAGGGATTTGAACTTAAAAACAAAACAAAAAACTATAAGGTAAAATTTACGTTCATTTTGCTAATAGTCTACAGATTTTGCCACATGTTCCCCAATGCCATTAGCACAAGTCATTATCATTCCTCCTGCTCATAAGAGAGAAGCATGTAGTGACATCTAGACATGGCTAGTTATCTTTCCGTGCAAGCACAGGTGGCTTCTTCCCACCCAGTGCTCTGCCTCCCACTTTCCCAAGAATATTTCTACCATAAAACATTGTTCTCTGGATCCTTCCAACTAGATGAGTTCATAGACATCTGAAGGATGCTAAAACTCTTCATGAAAACTAAAACTGTAAAGCCTTCTTGCCATAAAGGTGAATCTCCAAAGGTGGGAGAGGGAATTAACATTATTGAGTACCTATTCTATACCAGGAATCTTTATGGGCTTTTGTTCATTTAATATGCACTAACTCGGGGAATATTTATGAAAGTCCCATTTCACAGATGAACAAAGTGAGGTGCCTAGTCAGTAGGGGAGTAAGTAGCACAGCTATGAAAGAGTTCAGCCCACTCCAAGAGAGGTAGGCTTGAGGAGGTAGCATCAAACCTACTTCTTCTCTCACTGAGGTCAGAGCAGCCTCCTCCACCCACTCCAGAGCTCACTGTGTAGCTAGAAGTCTACTCCTTCAAAAAGCCGGCCAAGGGCTGACTTACCCACTAGTGTAAAGGGTATTCTGGGACCCAGAGAAACCTGAGCCTCAAAAAGAATGCAAGCAGTGCTTTATTGTAAACAATAGAATCCTGGGTACATGGCCATTTTATTCTTCTCACATTTCATTCATTTAATGTTGTTTTCTGGGAAAAGTAACCTCAATACATATAGGAAATCTCATTCAAGAGTAAAAAAAGAACCAAAACATTCCCCTCTGGTGTCAGGATGAAGCTGCCTGGGTGGGCTTTAATAGCAGAGGGAGGGTCCTGAGGATGCTCTGGAAGTTGGCTCCAGCAGCAACCCTTGCAACAGCAAAGCATCAACTAATACATAACCCCATTCTCTTCAGAGGGACTCGTGGGAGCAGACAGTGCCTGATGGCCTCAGCCAGACGGACCCCATGCCCGCCGATACTCTACAGACCTTGCCGCCCAGCACCAGCTGCCTCTCCCAGCTCGAGTCAGGAAGTGCCACACAGCACAGGAGCTCCACCTGGGGGACCTCCCTTGCTGGCACTCAGTCCTATTCTCTGCACACGCTGGAGGATCTGCACAACACATCTGGGTACCCCACCCCACCTCCTTACCCTTTTACCCCTTTCATGACAATGTCAAATGACCTACCACCAAAGGTGGTACCTCTCTCCTCAGATGAGGGGACAGACCCCTCTTCCCTTCATGACCATTCAACTTGGACCAAAGAAGACGGGAGTGTGGCCTGGGGGTCATACGAATGCCGCAGAGCTTACTGAGGGTGTGGACCAAAGGACTTCTGTGCTTTTCTTTAAGTTGGGTTCTGTATTCCAGGGATTGCTTTAGTTGTGCTGGCTCATTCGGAACTAGATTTTCAGGATAAGCCATAATGCCACCCTTTGTTAATGGACGATGGCATTTATTTGTAATCTTTACCACCATAACCCAGTTGAAATATAATACAGTGTCAATTAAATATACCATGGACCATATTCTAGTGAGGCAACCTTACAATGAGGTCATTTTGGAAATTTAGTAGCCAATTCCATTCTGAATCTTCTGTTATCTTTGAAATATCATTTTGGGGCACTGATTTTTTTCCTTAAATTATGTAGATCATAAAACAGAATGGTTTTACTGTGTAATTTTTCTTAGTTATAAACCATGTGTATTATTTAATAAAAGAAATAGCTAGGGTATAATATAGGTTGGGGCACATAAAACAAAATTCATTTTATACCATATGACATTAAAGAGTGAAGTGTTATATGCATTTCCTTCATTGCAAGAGCATGTAAAGGCACTGTAAAAAGATATGGCACTGAGTGTAAATGTGTTACTTTCAATAAAAGAGGATGAGGTCCATAGATTACGTGTGTGTGTGTGTGTGTGTTTTTAAATACATAGTTTCGACTCTGTTTTAAAGCCTAGGGTATCAAAAAATTAATCCATCCCCCCCCCAAAAAAAAGCCAAAAATTTCATTTGATCAGTGACTGTCTAAATTAAGGTAGACATGGTCTCTCTGAGAAATAAGCCTAGGGTTATCAGAATGGATGAGTAAAATGGACAGTTGGTGATCAAGTCAGAATCTTGCATTTAAAAAAAAAAATAGGAATAAGCTATTGACGAAAAACAGACCACCTAATGCCAAAAAAGTAAAGTGGCTTGGAAGAAGAACATATTGTCAGGTGAGTCAGTGGCACCACACACAATGTCCCCTAACTGTGCCTTGCTGGTGGCTTACCAGTCAGAGATGTTATGGCTCTCACTGTGTAAAAATGAAGAAACAACATCTGAAACAATAATCTGTCTCCTGTAAGTCTGACTGGTGTGGGTTCCTTTGCCAATGATGCGAAACCCCCACCAAGAAGTGCACCTGTCTGCAGGCCAAGCCCATCATAAATGCCCTGCACACACTTTGACTGGAAGTACATAAATCAAGGCCCACGAATTACATGTACTGCCGCAGTCTTCTTGGCACAATTCAGCAGCCACTTGTCAAAAGAAACAAACTTTATTTTTAGAACCACACACGCCAAACAAAACAGCTCCTCAGGAAAAACCCTCAGAGCCCAACTGCCACCACCGGCTTCCCACAAGCGTCTCAACCTCCCCCACTCCTCCTGCTCTTGAGGCCGCTGGGCTGGGTCGTGGGCGGAGCCAAAAAAGTCCCCCAGTGAGCAGCTCCATGGTCTGAAAGGGCAGGGAAACAGCCCAGTGAGCATCACTGCAGAGGAGCCAATCAGCTAGAAGTTGCTGCAGCCGCTGTGAGCCAATCATCAGCTGGCAGTCTGAAAGTTTGCTGGGGCCCCTTGGCTGTGGCTCTCAACAATGTACACCCTTCCTCCTGTCTTTCTACCACCGACCTTCCTTTACTTCCTTCTCACATGTTTCTGATCCTGCTGGTCCCTCCTTACCATCTTCTGAAAGCCAAGACTCTCATTGTCCAGCTGGTTGCCCAAAACCCTTCAAAGCAGTCTCTATCACATCTTCTACAAGTACTCATTCTCTACTTCAGGTAGGTAGGAGTCCTGAAACTCACATAAAGGGATTTGTTCACACTTAGATGTAAATAATTGATATTTCTCCTTCTCTACTCCTTTAAGGATATTTTCTGGTTCAGCAATCACATTTCTAACGTATGGAGTACCAGCAGAGATGCTTGGGCAGGGAGCCTTCCTTTACCTCACCCGCTAAAACTCTCTCCCAGGACAGCCAATCAAGAATGAGCCTCACCTGCTGGGCAGTACTCCTCCAGGCCACCCAGCTCTTTTCTGGCAGCCTGGTATAAAATTTTTTGCCTTTTCTTAAATTTCATTTTGTATTAACAGGCAATAATTGTACACACTTGTAGAGGTTCAATGCAATGTTTCAATACATGTATATACGAAATGATGACCCAAGGTAATTAGCATATCACCTCAAACATAATTTCTTGATAGTAAAACATTAAAAATCCTCTCTTCCTAGTGTTTTTTAAATATATGATGTATTATTATTGACTATTATGGTTTGAATATGAAGTGTCCTCCAAAAACTCATGTGTTGAGGCCTTGATCCCTAGTGGAGTAGGGTTCAGAGGTGGGCTTTCACAAGTGGATCATCAATGGATTAATCCATTCATAGCTGAATGGACTACTGGGAGGTAGTGGGCCATGGTTGGAGGAATTGGGTCACCGGGGCATGCCCAGGGAAGGTATTTCTTGACTTCATCCCCTTCCATTCTCTTTCTGCTCCCTGACTGCCATGAGCTAAGCAGCTTTGCTTTATCATGCCCTTCCACCATCATGTTCTGTTTCACTTCAGGCCCAAGGCAATGGAGCCCACAGACCGTAGACTTAAACCATGAGCCAAAATAAGTCCTTTCTCTAAATTGTTCTTCTGAGGCATTTGTCACAGCTACGGAAAGCTGACTAACACACTGACTGTAGTCACCCAACTGTGCAAGAGCAGAGCACACCAGAACTTATTCCTCCTAACTGTAACTCTGCACTACGTGTTGACCAACTTCTCCCCCCCCCCACCCCCCTGCTTCAGCCTCTAAGAACCATTGTTCTATTCTCTATTTCTATGAGATTGACTTGCACATATTATTCACGTGAGTGAAATCATGGTGTATGATTTCAGCTCTACAGCTGGCTATTTCATTTAACATATGTCATTCATGTCCTACCAAGTTGTCACACAGGACAGGATTTTATCTTTTTGTGGCTGAATAGTATTACATTGTATCTATATAGCACATTTTCTCATTCATTTATCCACTGATGAACACTTAGGTTGGTTCTTTATCTTGGGTATTGTGAATAGAGCTGCAATAAATATGCAAATGTACATCCCTCTTCAAATTATCGAGGTTCCTCAAACAATTAGAAACATAAGTACCCTATGATCCAGCAATCTCACTCCTGGGAACAGACCCAGAGGAAATGAAATTAGCCTGAGCTTAATTTTGCTTAATATTTGTTTTTCAGTAAAAGGTAGCAATATTTAGTGTGGGAGAGAAAAACTCCTTCTTCTCCAGTGGAATTTGGGGCCTTAGTCCTGGTTCTAAATAACTTTCTCAGAGTCATCTGTCACCCAGCAGTTAACACATACATGAACAACAGATCTCTGCATCAGACAGAAGAGATCTTACCCCCTCTATGGATTTAGGGATCCTCATGGCAGTCTGAGTCATTTTTCTGAATTAATTGTGTAAAATATATAACTACTCACCATTTGTTATTAAGAAGCAACAACCCAATATTGTTAATGTAGAATATATATATATACATATATATATATACACACATGGAGATATATAGATATTTTATATAATATATAACATTAATATAATAATGATTATAGATAATATCTACATATTTCCACATAACTTCAGCTTTTGATTATAATGCTAAATATTAGACATGCTCATATCACTTACTTGGATGTTATCTGCCAATGTATTATGTCCATTCATCTCTTCACAACTTGAAGTTGCTTGGTTCTTAGTTAGGTAGAACTCAGTAAACAGACCTCCAAACTCAAGAAAATGCAGTGAGTGTAATGATGTATACATTCTTCTTAAAGCATCGAACCCCTTTCTTGGTGTTTAACAAAGTCAGTTAATAAAAAAGGAGAACACACAGGCCCATACATATGTACTATCCATTTTGGTTATCTAGCCTAAAAGTGCTTGGAGGGAACAAGAATAATGCTAATGAATTTCAAATAATAAATGATTTTTTTAAAAAAAAATTCTGTTTAGCTTTACAATGTGTTTCTCTACTTCTTATAATTTGTTTTATTGTTTTGGGAACATTTTTGCTAAAAAGTGAAAAAAAGCTACAAAATTAAAACATGAAAATTATGTTTATTTCCCTCTCCTATTTCCCAATTTTTGTTGTTAGTTGCTGTCTTAAAAATAATTTTATTATAAAAATTATTACTTACACTGTCATAATTGGAAATGACCACACATGATCAACAATTTCATTCCACCACTCATAAAATACCATGCCCTTAACAATCCAGAAAATGGGGCATTTGTCTTCTTTTCTACAAAGAAAGTGCTCCCTTCTCAAGTACTTCCAATTTTCTACTGCATGTGGAGACCAACCACACTTTCATTCCCAATACCAACATATGAAAAAGTGTACATTCTTCTCTCCTCCTCCTTCTTTGAACCTGCTCTCCTCTAGGAAAGCTAGAGAAAATTCAAGAGCTTAGATTCAAAACTCCATCTCTTTCAGGCCCTGCCAGGATTTAGCATATATGTAAGATTTAAAGTAAACAGAGATAGTAATGTCAAATTCGAACTACTTTAAAAAGATGACTAGATAAGAAAGTCAAAAGAAGCCAAAAGTGAAAAGTATCCATGCAAAAACTGCAATGTAGACAGCCATCCGTGAATCACTGGAATCAGACAGTGCATGGAATTGGAAGTGTTTGTATTTCTCTTACAATGTTATTCAAACCCCAAAGAATGAGAGAAGAAAACCACATCTTTACCTTGTTTATTTAATAATACTTTTAAATGATCATTATGACCTGTCACAGCTCAGTTAATAATACAATGTCATGGTACTTGTGGTAGAGGAAGAAGAATGAAGTGCTCCAAAGGAAATTCTACAAAGGGAAAAGAATTACTAACCCCAATAGTAAAACATATATTTACATATATACACAGAAAAGTATCTTTGTAATCCATTTTCAAAATGTAAATCTAAATGATACAGTCAAAAGGAATTAAACATCAGTTATATTTAAAGTACCAAAATAACAATTGATGTCCAA